CCCAGTACCCACATGGCAGCTAACAACTGTCCGTAACTCCAAAGTTAAGGGGCTAGAGAGATGGCTCAGTGGTTAAGAACACTGGATGTTCTTGCAGAAGACCCAGGTTCAAATCCCAGTACCCACATGGCAGCTAAGAACTTTCCCAAACTCCAGTTCCAGGGGATCCAACAGCCTCCTTTGTCCTCTGTGGGCATTGCACAACACGGGTGCACTTACCTACATGCAGGCGATACACTCATACACATAAAATAAAAATAGTAAATAAAATATTTTTTTTAAAAAAGAAGTTAAAAAGAGGGCAGGAGATGTTCTTCAGTGGAAGAGTCACCTGCCTAGAATTCCCCAGTTAGGGGTGGGGGCATGGCTCAGCGGTACAGCACCTGCCTAGAACCCACTAGTGAGGGGCTGGGGGCATGGCTCAGCGGTACAGCACCTGCCTAGTTTGAAGGAGACCCTGTTTTGGACTTCCAGTACAATAAAACAAATCCCTCATCCACATCACTCTAGATCCTCTGCTTTTTCTTCATAACACTTATTGCAAGCAGCTATTTGATACCTGCTTATCTCTTTTTTCATCCTTGAAGTAGAATTCTGGTTCTGGCTAAGCAAGGATTCTTCTTCCCTATACTTTTTAAAAAAAAAACTTTTAAAAACATTTTATTTATTATTTTTATTTTATGTATATGCGTGTATTGCCTGCATGTAGGTAAGTGACCCCATGTTGTGCAATGCCCCCGGAGATCAGAAGAGGCTGTCAGCTCCCCTGGGACTGGAGTTATGGATAGTTGTTAGCTTCCATGTGGATGCTGGGATTTGAACCTGGGTCTTCTGCAAGAACAACTGGTGTTCTTAACCGCTGAGCAATCTCTCCAGCCCCACTTTTTCCCTATACTTACACATCTCCAGGACCTAGAATAGTACCTGGCAGACAGTGAGGGTTCTAACAACAAACATTTTTAACATTTATTGTGTGTGTGTGTGTGTGTGTGTGTGTGTGTGTGTGTGTAGTCATGTGTGGAGGGGGAGACATGCGTGCAACACGTGCACAGACATATATGTGGCTGTCAGAGGACAACTTGCTGGAACCTGTTCTTCCCTTCCTTATCCTTGCACTGTAGGGGCTCTTATACAGGGAAAGGTTGAACCTGCTACAGACAGTGACAAGCCAGAGAAGTGGGAGCAGGGATGGGAAGGGGTGCAGACGGGATGGGATGGGGGTGCAGGCAGGTCAGGATGGGATGGGGTGCAGGCAGGTCAGGATGGGATGGGGTGCAGGCAGACAGTAGGGATGGGATGGGGGTGTAGGCAGACAGACAGCATGGGGCTGGGGTGCAGACAGACAATCAGGATGAGATTCGGGTGTAGGCAGACAGTTGGGATGGCATGGGGGAACAGGCAGAAGGTCGGGGGGACGAGGGAAAGAATCACAAGAGGGAACGGGAGGCACAGTCAAGAGGGTGGGGATCTGGGTGGGGAGCAGCAGGCTGAGGAGGAGAGCCAGGGCCTGATTTGGCAGGCTCAGGATGACACGCTGTATTATAGGAGCCCAGAAGAACTGCCAGATGCTAACTGGCGGAGGCAGGGACGCTTTCCCAGAGGAGCGAACGGCTGAGCCAGGGCCTGAGGGATAACGTTCTTCCTGGCTCCGATGCCAATTGTTTTTTCCAAAATTGATTTTCTGCCTCCAGGTCCTTGTCAGTTGGGCTCGCGCGCAAAACCACCCACCGGGCCACTCGGGGAGCAGCGCGGTCATGGCCACCAGGGGAGCAGCGCGGTCATGGCCACCAGGGGGCGCCGTCCCGCCCTGCGGCCTCGCCTGCCAAAACACGTGGCAGGGCGCGGGAGGAGGATGCTGAGCGGGCGGTGGCCCTGCGTGGGTCCCGGGTGCCGCAGTTTTGAGGAGGGGGGAGTTTCCGGGACTCTCGGGAGCGGGGAACCGAGCTCAAGTGCCTGGCGAGCGTCCTGGCGGCTCCAGGGAAGGAGGCACAAGGAGTGGGCTCGATTGAGAGGCAGAGCTCTCCAAAGAGCTGGGAAGGGGGTACACCACCCGGCAGTGGGGATGTCCCCCCAAATGATCTCAATGGGGAATGGATCACTTGTCATTAATTGCGGCCAACCTACTGTAGGTTGAGAGTCTTAATTCCTGGTTTTATTCTGATTTTATTTTTGTATTTATTTTATGTATTTATTTATTATAATTTTTTTTTTGAGACAGGGTCTCACTATATGACACTGGCTCTCCTGGAACTTGCCATGTAGACCAGATTGGCCTCAAACTCACAGAGATCCACTTGCCTCTGCCTTCCGAGTGCTGGGATCAAAGGCCTGAACCACCGCACCCCATCTCTGAGTGGCCTTTAACTCAAGGATCCTCCAGTCTCTGTCTCCTAAGTGCTGGAATTTCCTGGCTATGTTCTGAAAGGGGCCTAAGCCTGGGAACTGGGGTTCAGAGAGTAACCCTAGGCTTATAACCTCTGCAATGTCATTAAGCGCAAGAATCTTTATCAAGGCCATGGGAGAGATACTGGTCAGAAGGAGCACTGCAGAGGTCCTCAGGAGATGCAGGACTGTGGCCGTAGCCCCTGGTGGGCTCCATCTGATTACATCGGTGGGGATGCTGGGAAAGAATGGCTCTGGAAAAATCTGTATGGGGCTGCATGTGGTGGCCCACACCTCCACACTGGGGAGGCAGAGGCAGCAAGATCACTGCAAGTTCCAGACCAGCAAATCCGAGGCCAGCCAGAGCTATACAGCCAAGAATCAAAACCAAAAAAACAAAACAAAACAAAACAAAACCCCAGATGATTGTGTATTTTGTGTCCTGTTTCCTTCCCCACTTAGCTCAGACCATGCCTGTCACAGTTCTAGGACCCTTCTTTTTTTTAAAACAACAACAACAACAACAAAAACACCAAAGGGCTGGCGAGATGGCTGAGCGGTTAAGAACACTGACTGTTCTTGCAGAAGACCCAGGTTCAAATCCCAGCACCCACATGGTAGCAAACAACCGTAACTCCAGTTCCAGGGGATCCAACAGCCTCTTCCATCCTCCGAGGGCATTGCACAAAACAGGTACATTTACCTACATGCAGCATGCAGGCATAACACTCATACACATAAGAAAAAAAAAGTGTGTGTGTGTGTGTGTGTGTGTGTGTGTGTGTCCCGGTGCACCATGTGCATGCAGGTACCTGTAGGGGCTGGAAGAGGGTATCAGATCCCCTAAAACTGGAATTATAGGCGGTTGTGAGCAGCTTGATGTGGGTGCTGGGAACTGAATCCCAGTCCTCAGCAAGAACAGTAAGGGCTCTGGACTGCAGAGCCACCTCTGGCCCTTCCCCTGCCTTTCCCAGTTGTAAGTGCTTTCTACCTGGCTTCATCATCAGCAGTTGGCAGAATGAGTCGGGTCCTGTATTGGGACATGTAAGAGACAGGACAGCACAGGGTCCTTCCCTTCCCACAGTCCAGTCACTAGATAATCACAAACCGGACTATGAAGACTAGAGCCTTGATAAGGGTGGCATGGGTGGGGGTCTTGACTTGGCCTGAAGGGTAAATGAGTGGTCTAAACAGAATGACAGGACAGGGTTTGGGGCCTTGAGAGAGGTTCAAATGGAGCAAAGGCTTGAAGGTAACCAAGTGTGGCTCATCTATAGTAGAGCCCTCTGCTCCATCCATCCCTGGTGGGCGGGGGGGGTCTGTGCCCTAGCAGAGTGTCTGTTACAGGTCCTGTGGCAATCTCCAGGTTTGGAAGGCAACCCTCAGGTTTGTTTCTAAGCCGTGTTTAAATGACTGGCCTCAAGGTTGATCAAAGGCTGGGTTTGAGTTTCCAGGTCCCTCCTTCACTTGCATGCTAGCTATCAAATAGGGGCAGAATATTGGATTGCACAAAATCATATCATTTTAAAGAGCTATAAAATAGTTTGATATATATTAATAGTTTGATGGAACCTGGAGCTTTGTGCATGCTAAGCAAGCGCTTGGCCACACACATTCCCCAGCTGATATATACATACATACACACATACATACACACACATTATACAGATATGGGATTCGGGGAAGGGGATGAGACAGGGTCTCATGTAGCTCAGGTTGGCCTTGATCAAACTTGCTATGTAGCCAAGGATGACCTAGAACTCCTGATCTTCTCACCTCCACCTTCCAAGTACTGGGATTACAGGTGTTTATCACCAGGTCCAGTTCCCCAGCATATGTTACAAAAATATATTCATTAACTATATTAAGGGACCCAAGAAAGAACAGAGGGGCTTTAAATGACAGAGGAAACTTTGGCCTGAGTTATGGAAATGAAACTGACAAGTATCTCTCAGCATGGTCCAAGAGGTAGTTATATTATGATCTGTTTGGGATGCTGATAGTGAACCAGTCAGCACAGCCTAGAATGTGCCCTTAAGGTCTTTGGCTCAAAGTTTGTTAATAATAGAAATGAGAGGTTAATTTTGGGTTCCCTCTACTAGCCTCGTAACTGGTGGGGGTCCCCGAACTGACTCAGAGGTATTGCTCAAGAAGACCTCTTTTTAAAAATATTTTATTTTTATGTGTATGAGTGTATTGCCTGCGTGTTTGTGAGTGCATCCATGTTGTGCAATGCCACGGAGGTCAGAAAAGGACTTTGGATTCCCCTGGAACTGGAGTTAAGAATGGTGTGTAGCCACCATGTGGGTGCTGGGAATCGAACCCAGGTCTTCTGCAGGAGCAGTCAGTGCTCTTAATCACTGAGCCATCTCTCCAGCCTCAAGACCTCTTTTTTTTCAGATGGCTAAGGAGGAAAGACTGTTTTTTGAGTCAGGGTCTCATGTCTAAGCTGGCCTCAGACTGTCTACGCAGCTAAAAATAGCCTTGAACTCTTGATCTTCCTGCCTCGGCTCCCAAGTGCTGGGATTACAGACATGGGCCACCACTCCTATATGTCAGGAGGAAAGGCTCAGTGACAGCACCCTCCACCTCCACACACACCTTATTCCCCCCATGGCCACCGTTATAGTCTTCCTTTATTGGCTGTCCTTGTATAATACAAATCTGCAAGTTTAGATACAAAAAAAATCTGGAAATAAAAGATAGAAAAGTACCCGCCAGGCACCCCTTCCCTTTCTGGGAGCCCCTCTCCAGCGGGCACCGGCATGAGGTAACTGAGCATCTTTTTCCCTCCCCCCTCCCCCACTCCTGGACCCCCAATTTGGCCCCTACCCCGTGAGACCTCTGCCCTGCGGAAGACGTGGCCTCCCGTATGGGGGAGGGGGTGGGGCGAGCACAGCATTGGCAGTGAACGCAGCGTGGGCAGAGGGAAGCCCTTAGCTTGTGCTGTGTGTATGGGGCAGGGAGGGGATGGCCAGACTTGAGACAGGCGCAGGAGAGCCCTAAGTAGACATCCCTCCCCCATCCTGCCCAACACTGGAAGGTAGGAAGTCAACAACAGAAACTGGGAAACGTAGCTTGAACCGAGGGCATTCCGTGGGACTGTCACCACCCCCGTGTCCGGGGCTGGGAAGGGGTATTTGCCAGCCTATGTCCGGCAGTGAAATGGTTCCTTTAGCCAGGCTGGGTCTCTCCCTGAATTCCATCTTGTCGCAACCTGGCCATCACAATATTGGTTCTGTAGTGGTTGTGAGGATGGTGGAGAGAGGGGCTTAGTGGGGGTGTTGAGGGACACAGACCCAGGGAGCAGCACTAGGGGAGAGGTCAGGCCTCCCCTCCAGAGTCTGGTGCACCCGGGAAGGATGAAGTGGGAGCGGGGCAACGTGGGCTACAGTTCAATCTCGAAGGTCTTCTGCAGGTCGCCAGAGAAAGGGTTGGAGGGCTTTTCCACAGTGGGTTTGCCTTCTAATGCTGCCCACTGGGCCTCAAAGGGGTCCAACTCAGGAGCAGGGGCTGGCACTGGCTCTGGTGGCCAGGGAGCCCCATGGGGGCGTGGACGGGCCTGGCCCCCAGGGGCACTGGGTGCAGCAGGGGGTGGGAAGGCCCCGGCTTTCCCAAGTAGGGTGGCCGGTTGGGGCTGGAGCTGGGCAGCTGAGCAGAAGGCATTGGCTACCATCTGCGAAGGTGTGATGCCCACCACAGGCACCCGGGGCATGGGTGGGTAACCCAGGCCTGGGTAGGCTGGCACAAAAGGAGGCTGCATGTGTGGGGGTGGCAGGAACACAGCCACCTGGGCAGGTGCAGTGTCAAAGGGCCCCACTGGGGCAGAGAAGGGTTGCAGGGCAGGGGGCATGGTGGGCACCGAGGTTGCTTGCTGCTGCTGCTGCTGCTGTTGCTGCTGCTGCTGTTGCTGCTGCTGCTGCTGGGCCTTGGCCACCTGGGACACTTCCTCCAGCCATCGCTCAGCCTCTGAAGGTGTCCGCTTGTGCCCAGGCTGGAAGGCAGCTGCAGGGGGTACAGAGGGCTCACCCCAGGCAGAAGTCCCTGGACAGAGGCAGGAGAAGGGCACAGGCTAGGAGTCAGGATGGCCTGGGGATCAGAGTCCAGGTCCTGGAGTGAGACTGTCTCTGAATCCAAGTTCATTTCCTCCACTCCTGACCTGGAGCAAGTGACTTAACCTTTCTGACATAATGAATTTGCAGTGCTGAAAACGCAGTTTTGAGACTCTACAGTCCTGTGACAGAAAAATCTAAGTAGCCCATTGCCCTTCGCTGGCCCATGCCACATCGGATGGTAAACATTTTTTTGTCTTTTTGAGACAGGGTCTCCCTGTAGCCCCAGCTGCCCTGGAACTCACTATGTAGACCAGGCTGGCCTTGAACTCACAGAGATCCACCTGCCTTGGATTCCCGAGTGCTGGGATTAAAGGCATGCGCCACCATGTCCAGCTCTGCGTATCACTTTTGAGCTAGTATTTTGACAATGTATTATTTCAGAAGGCTAAGATTCTAAGACTGCACTGTTCTAACACGGGACCATTTTTTTTGTTTGTTTGTTTGGTTGGTTGTTTTGTTTTGTTTTGTTTTTTGGTATTTTTGAGACAGCGTCTCTCCATAGCCCCAGCTAGCCTGTAACTTTCTATGGTAACCAGGCTGGCTTTGAACTCACAGAGATCTGCCTGCCTCTGCCTCCCGAGTGCGCCACCACACCCAGCTCACAGGACGATTCTTAAGGTTGTGTTTTCTAAGATTCTAGAGATACATTTATAATGTCTGTAATTTTGAGGAGGTCCTGTGGTTCTTTTTTTAAAAAAATTTATTGAATTTTTGTATATTTCATACAGAAAATCATCTTTATACCCCCTTCCCCTTTGGTGCCCTCCCATGACCTTCCCCACTGGAGTTCATACAGTCTGTCATTTGTGTTAAGGCCTATCATGTAAAGTGAGTGCCCCAGATGTCCCACAGTGCAAGTTCATCTACTGGGGTCTAATCAGCCTATCCAGAGTCCCTCCCTTTAAGATCAGCTCTTCCTCATCCAGCAGTAATAAGATGCCAATAATTCTTCGGCTAAGATTGGGGCCTGCTGTTCATTTCCACAGTTCTGTGCTGGGTCTTTGTCTGCTTAAGCTGTGCATGCTGGGTCCTGTGGTTCTAGGATAAACCCATGGCTCTAAGATGATCCATAGTTCTAAAATGATCTTCTGATCTAAGGTGATCCTATGGTAGGCACTTGGGTGATATGTGATTCTAAATTGATTTAGGGTTCTAAAATGATCCCATACTTCTAACACAGTCTATGATTCTAAAGTGGTTCATGGTTCTAAGATGATTTCAGGGTTCCAAGATGATCCAATGGCTTTAAGACAATCCACAGTTTTGATATGGTTTGTGATTCTAAACTAATCCCTGTTCCTAAGACAGTATCATGGTTTATAATCTGATCCAGGATTCTAAGACTCAATTCATGGCTCTAAAATTGGAATCCATGGTTCAAAGCTGACCCTATGGTTCAGATGATCTGTTCTAACCTGATTTCCTGGTTTTAAGATGGTTAATTGGTCCCAAGATAATCCCATGGCTCTAAGACATTCCATACTTCTAAGCTGAATTAGAATGATTCTAATTGATCTAACTTGATACTGTGGCTCTATGACAATCCTTAGTTCTAAGTTGTTCCCGTAGTTCTAAGTTGACTCCAGGATTCTAGGATGTTTCTGTAGTTCTGGGATGATGTGGTAGCTCTAGGACAATCGTGGTTCTGGAGTTGATCCCATGGTTTTAACCTGATCCCAGGATTCTAAGATGATCCCATGGCTCTAACCTGATCTCCTGGTTCTAAGCTGATCCCATGGTTCTAACCTGATCTCAGGATTCTAAGATGATCCAGTGGTTCTAAGCTGATCCCATGACTCTGAGACAATCTGCAGTTCAAAGGCTCTAACCCTGAACTATCCAAGATTCCTTGGGTTTCCAATGCTCTTGGGTTTCCATCTGCTCCAGTGGAAGGGCTGGATTTACCTGTTGTGGCAGATGGTGGCCCTGACGCTGGTGCTGCAGCACTGGCAAAAGACGAGCTGATCTGTGTGCACAGAGCATTGATGCCATCGCTGTCACTGGTACCAGGAGGCTCCATCTCAGGCACTGGGAGGTCATCAGGGAAAGACAGAGATCAGCAAACAGGCCCCAGCCTGCTGCAACCCTGTTCTCACTTCAGGCCCACAGGGGCCCTCTCTTATCCACACTCCTTTCCTTCCAGAGGTATGTAGGTCACTAGGTGACCCTGGCCACTAAATTAACTGTACACATGGCTGTGTGTGACAACAAAGTGACTGATACAACAGCCAAGTCAGTGTGTGATGTTTACAATTGACAGTGACAAAGATCCCAAACAAGGATCCTCATGATCTAAGTGGTCACTACCAGAAGAGATGTCTAAAAATGTTTAACATGCATTCATAAATAACATGACAAGAGCATGGGCAGTCAGAATGAATGCTGGCCATACTGCTGTTCACTGGCTGGGGACCATACACCCTGGTCCCCCACTTGGCCTGGGTTAACACAGACATCACTTCTGGCAGAGATGAAACCATGCCAGCAAGACAGGAGACACATAATAGGCATGGTGGCCTTGAAGGTCCTGGGAGGAAGAAAGTATCATCCAAAGACACCACCGACAGGTATGTGTAGTAGCAATAAATGTCTGACGTTTCCGCAAATGGCTGTCTTCAAGAGGCACAGGCAGCTGCAGGAGTCACTGGGTGTGACATGGGGATTCAAGTGGAGGTATATGTGGTTTCCGGACCAATGCCTATGGTAACTGCATGTGTTCCTCCAAACGGGCATGAGGTCTGAGGTGTGGCCTCCAAGTGTGCCTGAAGTTCAGCTGTGCCGCGTCTCTTGTGATTCCCACTGTGCAATGTGGGCATGAGCTGGTGAGTACGTGTGAATCTGCACATGGGTCTTCTGGGATTGTGAAGCTATGCAAGTGGTATGGCAAGTGTGCAAATTTGAGTGTGACTTCTGAGTGTATGCTTCGAGTCTGTGTGATGTTGTGGTTTCTGTACATAGGTAACAGTTGAATTTGTGACTTTTGGCATCTGTGACAGATATGCATATCAGAGTGTGAGTCTGTGAAATTTCTCTATGACAACTCACATCCAAGTCAGTGTGCAACTGACCTCAAGAGTGTAAGCCTCCCCAGCCAAGCCCAGGGAGCCTGCCACCCACCTCAAGAGCATGGGTGACAGCTTCCTATGTGTTTAATATTAGACTGAATGAGGACTGCAAACCCAAGGGCATGTGACGGCGTTTCATACCCAAAGAGCACTGTAGGACAGGGAGTAGGACATGTAGGACATGTTCCCAGCCTCGTGGCTGTACATTGATACCCTCCACACCAATCCCCACAGCCAGAAGGGCCAAATGTGGTTATGGAAGCAGTAGCCAGGGTCAGACCGCATGGTTCCAGGACCATTGAAGGGTATGTAGCCCTCCCACCTGTCTCCTTAGGACAAACTCGTGGCACTGTGTCACATTTTTTATCTCTTCAGTCCAAGGCAGACATGGCTTTTATTATGTGTTTTGAGACACGATCTTTCTAGGTAGTCCAGGCTGGCCTTGAACTCAAGTGCCTTCTGCCTCTGTCTCTGGAGTACTGGGATTACAGGTGTGTGCCAGCATGCCCAACTCAGATACTGCTTTTAGATCATGACATACAGCACTTCTCTTCTTTCCCTGGCCCATGGCAGACATTAATAATCAAACACAATATTTTTGGTTTTCTCCACTGAGCTCTTTGCTCACTGAGTTGGCCAGGTCTTGGGATTTCACTGACCACATTCTGGAATCAGCTCTTAGGGTAAGTCCAGAACACCCTGCTGTTTCTCTTCTTTCCCTTGTTGATAGTAAACTTATCACAGCAGACTTTTCTAACCATCATAACGTGTGCCATCTTGCCCCTTCCCTTAATAACAGCAGACTCTATAAATTGATCATGATTGTGCTACATTTCTATCTAGTAGAAATGGCTAATCAATCATGATTTGCTCTAGCTCTCTTCCAGTCCTTGACTATAGCAGACATCATTAATTGAACAAGGTATGTTCCACGTGGTTTTTTAAAAAAAAATTTTTTTATTTTTATTTTTTTATTTTAGGTGTATGAGTGTATGTACGTGAGTGCACCTGTGTCATGTAATGCTGCAGAGGTCAGAAGAGGATTTTGGATTCCCCTGGAACTGGAGTTAAAGACAGTTTGTAGCCACCATGTGGGTGCTGGGAATCGAGCTGGGAATCGAACCCGGATCCCCTGCAAGACCCGTCAATGCTCTTAACCACTGAGCCATCTCTCCAGCCCCCACGTTTAACCTATGCCCCCTTGCAGACAGTGTTAATCAATCACAGTTATCCCATTTCTCCTCTAGTCCTTGCCTACATCAGATAGTGCTAATTGATTCTGATGCCCCTTCTTGCTGATTCCAGGACTCACCTGTGCCCTTCACCTGGAAGTCAGTTCGGCGCTGCAGTGTTGATGGTAGTTCATTCAACCGTAGGCTCAGCTGCCGTTTGAAAGGAGAGTTCTTCTGGCTGAGCGCTGGAAACCCACGAAAGGAGCCCTGGCGAACCAGCTGCTCCAGAGGGGCATGGCGCCGGGGAATAGCAGCAGCCACGGTGGTGCCTGCAACCGCTGGGGTGCCCGCCTCCCCCTTCTCACCAGGGGATGTGGTGGCTGGTGTTGGGGACACATGCCCAGGTTGGGCAGGGCCAGGAGCCGCAGCGGGGGCAGCTGCTGCCTCTGCTAGAGACATGGAAGAGATGGTCTGTTAGTCACCTCACTTAGGCATTGGAAACAAAGCCTAACTGGTCTTGCTTTTACAGTGCTGGAAATAGAACCCAGGGTCTTGTGCATGTTAGCCAAGCACTGTACACTGAGTCACACCCCCAGCCCCTCACTGGGGGATTCTAGGCAGGTGCTCTACCACTGAGCCACACCCCAGCCCCTCACTGGGGGATTCTAAGGAAGTACGCTACCATTAAGCTACAACCCAGTCCTCACTTGCTCCCTTGATTACTCCCCAGAGTTGCCTTGTCACCCCACATATCCTGTCCCCACTACAGGATGGTCAGGGCTATAAAGGGATCAAGGGGTCAAGGCTTGTCCCCACCCAAGCCAAGATCACTTCCCCAGAAGACCACTGGGGAATTGTCCCCTAGCCTAACCCTGTGTCCCTCTAGCTTTCTGTCCCTATTGTCTTCGTCAGGGGTTCTTATTTCCCTCTTGGACACAGTCTTCCTTTTCTGACCACTGACCCTCACTTGGTGCATGAGCATACTGAGGCACTGCCCCAGGAGCCTTGCAGACACTAACTCATTCAATTCACACAACCACCAGGTGGTCAAGACCATGGCCATCTCACAGACACAAAAACTGGAGTGACTTAGGTCACACTGCTGCCAAGGGGCAGGCTGCCTCTGGAGCCTGTGCTCCAAGCCACTGCCCTCACCTGTCCCTCCCTCTGGCCTGGTCTGTCTTTCTCTGTCCCTCTCTGTTTCTCTCTCTCTCCCATTCTCCCCACCTCAAAAATGCTTTTACTTTCTCCAGCTGTGACCAGTTGTTCTAGACCTGACTTGGCTCCTTCATAATTTGGGAATCTTTCCAAATTATTCTAGCCCCTCAGCCTGGGTTTCCTTCACTCTGGGACTGACCTCTGTCCTCTGGGGAAACCTGAGACTACAAATTGACAGCATGCAGGCTCTTCAAGGGCAGGTGCCTCCTCCCCCTCCTCCAATATCTCTGCAAATTTGGAAGCAGGAAACCACCTCTGTCCCCATCTCACTGCTGTGTGACCTCAGGAAGTTCCCTCCCATCTCTGGGCTCCAGTTTCCCTAGGCTACCTCCCCCAGGCCTTCCTGGACAGTCAGTTATCAAGGCTTCAGATTGTCACAAAAGCTTGATAAACAGCTCTGTGAAGAGTGAGAGCTTAGTAGAAAAAGCATTGCCTCAGGCTGTGATTCTGCACAGCAGCCATGAGTGTGAGATGCTCAGCAAATCAGTCCTCACCATGTAAACTCTCCTTAGGCTATGCAAACAGCAAAGTGCTTTCTTTCTGTAGTGCCTGGAAATCAGAACACCCTTTAGATACAGTGAACCCTTTGCAAACTCAAAACCCTGCTGCAGTCAGCTCTGTACCCAACAGCAGCAGGCACATCTTTCTTTTGTGGGGTTGTGGTAGGGGGTGCGGGGGTCGGGTGGGGAGGAGGCAGGGTCTCCCCACGTAGCCCTGGTTTGTCTGAAACTCGCTACGTGGACCAGGCTGGCCTCGAACTCACAGAGATCTGCCTGCCTCTGCCTCCTGAGTGCTGGGATTAAAGGTGAACACCAATACATCTGGACCCCAGCAATTTTTACTTGATTTTAATTTTGAGACAGGGTCTCAGTAAGTTGCCCAGGCTGGCCTTGAACTCACTCTGTAGCCCAGACAGGCCTTGAATTTTCGATTCTCCTGCTTCAGTCTAATGAGTAGCTGGGATGACAGACCTTTACCCCTGGGCCCAGTCCCCTCATAATTCTAACACTCTAGGTAAATGGTGAGGAAAAATCTGTACCTTGTAAAGGGGTGCATATCTGTGTGCCCTTTGTAAATAATAAAACACCATGGACTCTATTGTGCCATTTATTGACTATTCCTTACAAATTCTAACAGATGATGAAAGCAGTAAAATACTTTGTAAGTTATGAAGAACTTTGCATAGGACCTTTTCTAAAAACAAAGTATTTGGATGGGTGTGGTGGTATATGCCTTTAATTCAAGCACTTGGGAAGGAGAGGCAGGTGGATCTCTGTGAGATCATAGCCAGCCTGGTCTACATAGTAAGCTCCAGGCCAGCTGTGGCTACATAGTGAGACCCTGTCTCAAAACAACAACAACAACAAAAATTATTTGTGTGTGTGTGTGAGTGTATGTCCAGGTGCTGGAGGAGGCCAGAAGAAGGCATCAAGATGGGTATGGTGGTGCACACCTTTAGTCCCAGCACTCAGGAGACAAAGGCAGGTGATCTCTGTGAGTTCAAAGGGAGACCTTGCCTCAAAAAGACCAAAAAATACCCAACAACAACAACAACAACAAAAAACACCCAGAAGAAGGCATCAGATCCCTTGAAGCTGGAGTTACAAGTCTGTAATCCACCCATGTGGCTCTGATCCTTGTGACAGAACCTCTGATAGAGGTTCTTGTGATAGAAGTGCTCTGAACCTCTAAGCTATCACTCCAGCCTTCATGCAGAGGGTCCTTTAAATGGTCATGTAATTTACAAATCAAAAGAGACATTATCAACTTTAAAAATAAAAAGATGGCTGGGGATGGAGCTCAGTGTCAGAATGCTTGCTACAAAATCCTGATTCAGTCTCCAGTACTGAAAACAATAAATAAATTCTAGTGATAAGCCAGGCATGGTGGCACAGACCTGTAATCGCAGTACTTGGGAAGTTGAAGCAGAAGGATTGCTGTGAGTCTGAGGCCATCTTGGACTACATAACAAAAGTGTCTCAAAAAACAAAACAAAATATTGGGGCTAGAGAGATGGCTCAGCAGTTAACAGCACTTACTGTTCTTGCAGAGGATCCAGGTTCAGTTCCCAGTACCCATGTTAGGTGGCTCACAACTGCCTGTAACTCTAGTTCAAGGGTACCTGATGCCCCCTGCTGGCCTCCACCAGCACCTACATGCAGGTGGTGCACATACATTCACCCAGGTACACACACATACACATAAAAAAATAAAACAAATATCTAAAAAAGGGGAGGGCTGGAGGGATGGCTTAGTGGTTAAGAGCACTGGCTGCTCTTGCAGAGGACCTGGGTTTGGTTCCCAGCACCCACATGGCAGCTAACAACTGTTTCATAACTCCAGTTCCAGGAGATATGATTTCCTCTTTTGGCCTCTGAGGGCATGCATGCATGTGGTACACTTACCTATATGCAGGCAAAACACATGCACATAAAAAATAAAAATAGGCTGGGCATGGTGGTGCACACCTTTAATCCCAGCGCTTGGGAGGCAGAGGCAGGCAAATCTCTGAGAGTTCAAGGCCAGCCTGGTCTACATAGCGAGGTCCAGGCCAGCTAGGGCTACAGGGAGACCCTAACTCAAAAATACCAAAAAATAAATAAATAGATGCCAGGTAAGTGGTTCATACCTGTCCCAGCACTCAGGAGGCTGAGGCAGAAAGAGCTGGAGATTGAGGCTAGCCTGAGCTACGAGACCCTAAATTTTTTCATCATATTTTTTTTTTCATTGTGCAGGGTTAGGAATGGAATCCAGGGCCTCTCTCTACCACTGAGCTGCACCTAAGCCTTCCTTCTTTCTTCACGGCAACTCAAAGTAAGCTCTACGGTAAGTATATCTTTTACTTGGCAATCCATCACACACACACACACACACACACACACACACACACAGTACCACTATATTATACAAGGACACACACATACACAGAATACCATTATATTATACAAGGACTGTACTATACAAAGTACTCCAATATTTTCTTCTTTAAAGAATTTTTGTGTTCTTTTTCCTTTTAAATATTAATTTTTATTTATATGTCTGTGTGGGTGTAGGTGCCTCAGAGGCCAAAACAGGATATCAGATTCCCTGAAGCTAGTGTCACAGGAGGTTGTAAGTCATTTAACATGCATCATGGGAACCAAACTCCAGTCCTCTGGAAAAGCAGCAAGTGTCCTTAACCACCAAGGCCTGCTCTCTAGTGTCTGATATTATGTCTTCTACTCTTGTTTGGAGAGGCAGAGTCTCACTCTGTAGCCCGGGCTGACCTTGAACTTGGGGCAATCTTTCTACCTCACACTCCTCTGATGTGCAATTACAGTTGGGAGCTACTTCTGGATTCTTCCTAAAATTGATTTTTGGGCTATAAACCATAACCACCCTTGGCAGCCAGGTGTCACTGGTCCTCTGCAGCCCTCCCCAAAACCTGGCCCCTGGTTCCACCTGCCCCACCTGTTCCCGCCCTACCTGCCCTGTGCACCCATCCCTGGTCCCTGGTCCCTCCTGCCCCACCTGTGCCTGCCCCACCTGCCCTGAGCACCCATCTCTGGTCCCATGTGCCCCACCTGTGCCCACCCCACCTGCCCTGAGTACACAACTCTGGTCCCACCTGCCCCGAGTACCCAACTCTGGTCCCACCTGCCCCACCTGTGCCCGCCCCACCTGCCCTGAGCACCCATCCCTGGTCCCACCTGCCCTGAGCACCCATCCCTGATCCCACCTGCCCTGAGCACCCGTCCCTGGTCCCACCTACCCTGAGCACCTGTCCCTGGTCCCACCTACCCTGAGCACCCATCCCTGGTCCCACCTGCTCTAAGCACCCATCCCTGGTCCCACCTGCCCTGTGCACCCATCCCTGATCTCTGGTCCCTGTCCGGGGCACCCACCTTTCTTCTTGTCCCCTGCCTCACGCTCCGCAGGCCGGCCACCCCCTGACAGGCGGAAGGAACCCTCGCGGGCAAAGCTGGTGCGGCTGGCATCAAAGGCAGCCGTGACCCCGCACTCCTTCTCCCGGCGCTGCTTCCGCTCCAGACAGGCGGCGAACGCACAGCCCACCGCGTGGCTCAGCCTCTCCCCCTGTGCAGAGAGGTGACCAGGTTAGAAACATCCCGCCCCTCAGGCTGCATGACAAGAGCCCACCGGGAGAAGCAACCCTAGGTGCTTGGTGCGTGGTGAATCCTGTCACCTCTCTGGGCCTGGGTGCCGGGTGCTCAGCATCAGAAGCAAAGCTCAGCATCAAAAGCATCAGAGCAAAGAGCAGCTAGATGCTGCTAGGTGGGCACTGGGAGTACTTGATTTCTATCCTCAGTAAATGCAGGGGAGGGAAAGTTGGAGCCTGGCCTGTGTGCCACAGCAAGTTCCAGGCCAGCCTGGGCAACAGTGAGTCCTGTATTCTCATTCCTAAACAACAACAAAAAGTTGGGTACAGTAGTCCCAGTTACTTGGGAGGCTGAGACACAATAGTCACTTGAGCCCAGAAGGTCAAGACCAGCCCTGGAAGCAGAGAGATGCTGCTTTAAAAAATCCAGAGAGCTGGCCAGGAGAGATAGCTCAGTGGTTCTTACAGAGGACCAGGGTAGTTCCCAGCACCCGCCTGGAGGGTAGCAACTGTCTGTAACTCCAGTTCCAGAGGAACCCAACACCCTCCTCTGGCCTTCATGGGCATTGCACATACTTTTTTTGTTTTTTCTTTTTTTTTGGTTTTTTTTTTTTTTTTTGGTCTTTTTGAGACAGGGTCTCCCTGTAGCCCCAGCTGTCCTGGAACTCACTATGTAGACCAGGCTGGCCTTGAACTCACAGAAATCCACTTTCCTCTGCCTCCTGAGTGCTGGGATTAAAGGCATGTGCCACCACGCCAGAGCACATTTTTTTTTTAAGTACCAGCTGCTCAGGGCCTGGAGAGATGGCTCAGCGGTTAAGAGCACTGACTGCTCTTGCAGAAGACCCAAGTTTAATTCTGAGCACCCACATGGCAGCTACGAACTGTCCTTAACTCCAGTTCCACGGAAATCTGAAGCCCTCTGTGGCACTGCATGACAAGGGTGCACTCACATACATGCAGGCAATACACTCATACACATTAAAAAATTAAAATATTAAAATAAATGAAAGTACCAACTGCTCTTGCAGAGGGCTAGAATTCAGTTCTCAACACACACGGTGACTAACAACCATCTAGTAAGTCCAGACGATCTGATGTCCTCTTCTGGCCTATGGAGGTACTGGACCCACATGGTGTGCTTACATACATGCAGGCAAAAACATTCATACATACAAAAAAAATCCGGTGATTGGGCATGGTTTCACAAGCCTGTAATTCCAGCATTTGGGATATAGAAGTGGATCAGTTCAAGGTTATATTTAGTTACATGTTAAGTTTGAGGCCAGCCTGGGCTGCATGAGAACTTGTCTCAAAAAACAAAAATAAGGGCTGGAGAGATGGCTCATCAGTGAAGAGCACTGGCTGTTCCTGCAGAGGACCAGGGTTCAGTTCCCAGCACCCACATGGTGGCTAACGACCACCTGTAACTCCAGTTCCAGAGGAATCTGATGCCCTCTTCTGACGTCCACAGGCATTGCACATCATGGGTACACTTACAAGCAGACAATGCACTCATATACATGAAAAACCAAAAATAAATTAGTAAATAAACAAAAAATTTTTTAAAAATCCAGAGCCAGACCAACCAACCAAACAAACAAACAAACAAACTCATCCCTTCCTCAAGCAACCCACTAAACAAACAGCAGCTATGTTTGAAACAACTGAGGTGCAAAGGCAGGCCCACAGTCTGACTCTACTTGCATGAAATTCTAGAAGAGGCAGAATTTATGGTAGATGATTTGGATATGGTATTTTCTTTTTTTCAACTTTAAATTTTTTTTATTATTTTTATTTTATGTGTATGCATATATTGCCTGTACGTGTGTGGTGCAATGCCCTGGGAGGTCAGAAGAGGCTGTCGGATCCCCTGGGACTGGAGTTACAGACGGTTGTTAGCTGCCATGTGGGTGCTGGGATTTGAACCCGGGTCTTCTGCAAGAATAACCAGTATTCTTAACCACTGAGCCATCTCTCCAGCCCCAATGGTACTTTCTTAGTGGGTGGGGATAGGACACTGGGAAGGGGCATGTCTGGGCAGCATTTTAGAGCTTGCTGAGCTGAGGTCATACAGGTGTATGCAGTTGTCAAAACTCAATATAAGTGCACAGGTTACTCTGGCAGAATGTGACCCCCTGTAGATTGCTAGGTCAAAAACCTAATCCCCAAGGCAATGGAGTCTGGAGTTGGGGCGAGCGGGAGGCGATCAGGACTATGTCAGAGCAGGAGGTAGGGTCCTCGGATGATTAATGTAATGCCCCGAGAGAGATGTAGAAGGATACGTTTCTGTCTTGTCTCTGCTGGTGAGAACACAGCAAGGAGTTCAACTGCACACAAGGAAGCCCATCCCGACCTAGAACTAACCTCGCTGTGCCTTCTGATGCTCTGAGCTCAGCTTCCAGCCTCCAGAACGGGGAGAACCTGCTGCCTGTTTAACCTCCCGGTCTGTGGAGCCTGGTCACATAGAGCAAGCAGCCTGACTGATGATCACGCAGTGCGCACTTCACAAGAAAAAGACCTGGAAAGCCAGGCGTGGCGGCCACTCTAAAGCCTGGGAAGTCAAGGATGGAGGATCAGCTTGGGGCCATCCTCAGTTACATAGTGAGTTCTAAGTCAGCCTGAGCTATGAGGCATTGTCTCAAAACAAAAAACAAAAAATATAAAAGTAGACCATGGAAATGGCTCAGGTTTTATGACTTCCACAGGTGGGCCTTGTTATCCATGTACCCCCAACACAAGATAAATAAGTAAAGGTAATAAAAACTTTTTTACATTTATTTTTACTTTATTTTATTTTTATTTTTTATTTTTTTTATTTTATTTATTTATTTTATTTTTAAGACAGGGTCTCCCTGTAGCCCCAGCTGGTCTGGAACTCTCTATGTAAACCAGCCAGACCTTGATCTCACAGAGATCTGCCTGCTTCTGCCTCCTGAGTCTCAGGACTAGAGGCGTGCACCACCACACAATGCCTAACAAAAGCTTTTTGGGGATGTACTTCTTTTTGTGTGTATAAGTGTTTTGCCTGCATGCAAGTGCACCACATGCAGGCAATGCTCACTGAGGCCGGGAGAGGGCTCTGGATCCCTTGGAAGTGGAGTTACAGATGATTTTTAGCCATCATGTAGGTGCTGGGAACCAAACCTGGGTTCTCTACAAGAAGCCATCTTTAGCTCTAATAAAAATCTTTTTTCTTTTTCTTTTCTTTTTTTTTTCCTTTTGGTCTTTTTGAGACAGGGTCTTCCTGTAGCCCCAGCTATCCTGGAACTCACTATGTAGACCAGGCTGGCCTTGAACTGAACAGAGATCCGTCTGTCTCTGCCTCCTGAGTGCTGAGATTAAAGGCGTGCGCCACCGTGCGCCACCACACCCGGCATAAAAAATCTTTTTTAAAGAAAAAAGAATATCTGGAAACAAGACCAAGTTCTATTTCATAGATTGCATGCTGAAGTAAGAGACACATGTCTGCAACTTTGAAATCATCCTCTGAATCAAATGTTAAAAGATTTGTAAGTGACTGGGAGATGACTCAGCAGGTAAAGGCATTTGCGGCCAAGCCTGACAAGTTGAGTTTAATCCCTGGGACTCACATGGTGGAAGAAAGAGAAAGGGGGGAGGAGGGAGGGAGAGACTTGTGGGGTGGCGATACAGTGACTGATCATTGTAAATGTCTATCAGCCTTGCACGCTTGAAAACACTTTGTAAACACTGTGTGCAGGCAGCTGTAGTCTATCAATCAGCCATCTACGTATCTATTCTAGTCTGTTTTCTCTCCAGGTGTTCTGCAATGTTGGGCAACAGAACCCAGGACCTCATACCTGCTAGGCAAGTGCTCTCCCACTGACCCACACTCCCTGCCTGCTTAATGAAGCCTCAAGGTCAGGTAGCCTGGGGTTGACGCTGGCTTCCCATTATCTGGCTGTGCGTTTTCAAGAAAACTCACTTCACTTTAGAATCTGATCTCCTCTCCTGTAAGATGACAGTCTTAAAACACCTACTTTATAAGACGTGGTGAATTCATAGCTGATAGTACCCAGCATAGAGCCAGCCACGGGAAATACCATGTATAAGTCATTGTAGCTCTGTTGGCTCTGCTGAGTCCTGATGGGCACCCTTACATGGAACCCTTTCAGTATTTGCAGAAGGTGGACAGTCTTATGGACCCATTTTACAGATGAAGAAACTGAGGCTCTGGTTGTACACAACCACATACCCCTTAGTCCAAGTGTAGCAGCAGAACTAAGACTAGCATGAGATTCATCTAACTTTGTTTCTTAACCAAGGTGCTCAGCTGCCTCCCAAAGTTGAACTTGACAGAAGTCCCTAGCAAAATATTAGCAGCCTGAACCCATCAGTATAGTAAAATGATCTAGAGGCAGGCATGGCAGACCATGCTTGTAATCCCAGCACTTAGGAGGTGAAGAAGGCGAAAGGATTGAGAGTTTAAAGTCAGCCTGGGTTACATGCTGAGTCTGCCTTAAAAAAAAAAGTTCAGGAGTGATGGCTCAGGGGTTAAGGGCACTGGCTGCTCTTGCAGAGGACCTAGCACCCACATGGCAGCTCACATTCATTTGTAACTCCAGTTCCAAAGTATCTGATGCCCTCTTCTAGCCTCCTGAGGCACCAGGCATGCACATGGGGTACTTACATACAGGCAAACACTCATACATATAAAATAAAAATAAATGAATCTTGAAAAAAAAAAAAGATAGGCATGGTGGCATGCCTGCAATCTCAGCACACTAGAAGCTGAGGTAGAAAGAGTGCCAAAAGTTTAGGCCAGCCTGGGCTATGCAGGGAGTTCAAGGCTGGTCTGGACTACAAAGTGAGACCTTGTTTCAAGAAACAAAACAGGAGCTGGAGAGAAGGCTCAGTGGTTAAGAGCATTGGCTGCTCTAGCAGAGGACATGGGTGCGATTCCCAGCACCCACATAGCGGCTAGCAAGTCTCTTAACTTAGGTTCAAGGGGATCTGA